AAACACATTTTGAGGTACTACACTGATGAAAAAGTGTCTACGGTTCCACAAGTGACAGAAAGGTTCCAAAACTTTATACATTCCCAATTCGTGGAATACTAAATAAATAAATAAACGTATTTACAAAAATATCACCAAAAGCAGCTACCCTTTTTCAGGTCAAAATGCATTCTAACTACTTAGAAAAATCAGGTTTGCGACATGCCCCGTTGGCATAGTCGTATGTTGGCCACACAAAAAATTAGCAGACACATTCCGCAACAGCCCAGATGGACACTGATTTCTCAGAATGTCAGTGATGTCTAGACGTTCACCATAGAAACTGTTTTATTAGTAAGCAATTTAACAAACTGCAGCCATTCCTTCCCGTCTGTGTACCTTACACAATGCATCCGTTGTTTGGATGGATAACCACAGCTGAAACAAATTACTGTTTTACGTTCATGGCTGAATTCCTCCCTGTCGACTTCATATAGAAACCAAGCCACGCCATGAAGAACGGAGCCGGCCCGGCTTACCAGTCCTCGTCGTCGGGGACGGTGGCCAGCGGAGGGGTCAGGCAGTAGATGTGGAAGGCCATGTTGCATTCGTCACACAGCAGCTGCATGTGAGCGTCCTGCTTGCCGCCGCACACACAGCATGAGCAGAAGCGGCACTCCAGCTCTGGGTCAGCCTTACAGTGCTTACATTCTGGCCCGGTCTTCCCTACACACACACACACACACACACACAAAGACAAAGGCCCGCAGCTCAATCATAGCTTCTAATATAAATTGTACTGAATTTACTGTGTTATATCACTACTAATGTGCACTATCAAAATAATTACAGTCATTTAGCAGACGCTAAGACATGGCAGAGTAATGAAAGCATGGGTACAGTATTCAGGGACAGCCAGCACCCCGGCAGACGTCTCAGGTTAAGGCCCTTTGCCCTGGAGCACAGAACCCTAACATGCTCATTAAAACATCACATTCATTTTTTTTCCAGTGTCAGGTCAGGTGCACCTGCATTCACTCCTAAACTGATGCCTGTCATCCAGTCTGGCTGCATACTCAGACGGGGTTACATTGAGGTTGAGGCACAACATTTACAAAACATCCCGGAGCAGGTGCATGCTGGGATACCATCCCCATGTCTCTGAGCCGGAACACCGCTTCGCCGGCAGCTCTCCACCCGTGGGAGGGCAGCTTTGAGGCGGTGATGCACCTCCCTCCGGCGACAGGTAGCCTACGCCTAGCCCCCCTGCCCAGGCCTACGTTTGAAAGGCCCCTCAGCCGCCGATAGGGGGGGCGCGCCGGCTCTCTCAATCTTGTAAATCTCATCCAGAAGGATGATCTTGCAGTCGCACAGGACATCATCGCAGTCCCTGTAACACAAAGCAGACAGTGTGGGAGGGGAGCGAGGCTTATGATGGGGGAGAGCAAGTGCCATAGGGTGGGGTGGGGGGGG